GGAGATAGAAATATCAATGATGAAAGAGAACCACACTCCCACTGGGGATTGAATCGACTTCTTGTTTCATAGATTGATACTCAACCACTAACCACCACCAGCCGGTCTGGTGAGGAACTTTCATTCATTGCTAGTAGGAATGCAAAATGCCACAGCCACTTTGGTAGTTTCTCATAAAAGTAAACATACTCTTAAGCATTTGATCTAGCCACTGCATTTCTTGGTATTTACCCAAATGAAGTAAATATTTATGCCTACATAACAACCTGTATATGTTTATAGCAGCTTTATTCAGTTGCCAAAACTTGGAAGCAAAGAAGTCCTTCAATAGGTGAATGGATAAACTATGCTACATCAAGACAATTATTTATTCAGCACTAAAAAGATGAGCTATGTCCCAGCTGGCATAGCTCAGTGTTGAATGCTGACCTATGAACCAGGTCATGGTTGGGATTCCCAGTCAGGGCACATGCCCGGGTTGCAGGCTTGATCCCATGTGGGGTGTGCAGGAGGCAGCTAATCAATGATTCTCTCATCCTTGTTTCTCTCTCTGAAATCAGTAAAAATGTATTTGAGGGGGGAAAAGTTTAAAAATAAAAAGAAACATCAAGCCATCAATGAAGACTGGAGAAACCTTAAATATATATTACTATGAAGGAAACCCACCTGCAAAGGCTACAAACTGAGCCCAACTACAGTATGGAAAAGATCTGTGTCTAACTAGGAGTTAAGAGGGAGGGAGGACAAAGAGGCAGGACACGGAGGACTTTCAGTAACAGTAAAGCTATTCTGTATTGGTGAATACATGCCATTATACATTTGTCCAAACTCCTAGAATGTACATCAAAAGTGAATCTCAACGTAATCTATGGTCTTTGGGCAATAAGGATGTGTGTCATTGTTCACTGTTGCAACAAATGTACTATTCTGGTGGGAGATGCTGACAGTGGGGGAATCTAAGGGGTGGGGTGCAGGCAGAGAATATATGGGAATTCTACTTTCTGCACTATTTTGCTGCAAACCTAAAACTGCTTTTTTTAATTTTGATTTTTTACAGAGGAAGAGAGAGGGATAGAGAATTAGAAACATCAATCAGCTGCCTCCTGCACACCCCCCACTGGGGATGTGCCTGCAACCAAGGTACATGCCCTGACCAGAATTGTACCTGGGACTCTTCAGTCCTTAGGCCAACGCTCTACCCACTGAACTAACCCGGTTTCGGCCTAAAACTGTTTTTTTTTTTTTAATCTATTTTAAAAAATGACAACTCTGTCGAAACTGGTTTGGCTCAGTGGTAGATCGTTGGTCTGCGGACTGAAAGGTCCCAGGTTCAATTCCGGTCAAGGGCATGTACATTGGTTGCGGGCACATCCCTGATAAGGGGGTGTGCAAGAGGCAGCTGGTCGATTGTTTCTCTCATTGACATTTCTAGCTCTCTCTCTCTCTTCCTCTCTGCAAAATATCAATAAAATATATTTAAAAATGACAACTCTGATGGTTTTGGAACAGGAAAGAGAGCGTCGGCCTGCGGACTGAGAGGTCCCAGGTTCAATCCTGGTCAAGAGCATGTACCTTGGTTGCGGGCACATCCCCAGAAGGGGGTGTGCAGGAGGCAGTTGGTTGATGTTTTTCTCTTCTATGTTTCTCTCCCTCTCCCTTGCTCTCTGTGAAAAATCAATATTTTTTTAAATGACAACTCACATGCGACAGGGTAAGGGAGGCTGGGGGAAGGCCATCGGGGGAGGGAGGAGGAGATATATGTACTACTATACATAATACTTAAAAAAAAAAAAAAGACAACTCAGCTCTCTCCCATGCACCTTACCTCCAAGGAGCACACGCATATTCATTCCCTTTCTCCTTCCCCCTCAGGTACATATCCCAACCTCTAAGGAGCACCATGAGACTTGCAACCAGTGGTGAAATGGGCAGCTGCAGTGTATCTTGGGCTAACCCCCTGAATCTGTCTCCAAGGCTCCCTTTCCTCTGACTTCCCAGTGAGTCAAAGCAGCCCGACCATTGTCCGTCTGGGTCTCCCCTCCCGCCCCTCCAATCTGCTCCTTGTTTGGAATGTGTCTTCAATAAACCCCTTTACTTAGAAAAAAAAAGAAAAAAAAGAAAAAAAGAAAGAACAACTCAGTGTTCAAGCATTTTATTATACAAGATAAGGAATATCCACATTGTAGCACATTCCAGCTTGTATACAATTATAATGGCATATCACTTGTTCATAAGATATAGCTGAGCAGTAGGTTGAGAAGTTTAATTAAGTCATTGTTAGCCAAGTAAAATTTCAAGAACATTCAAAGAGGAAACACAGTAAAGGTTATACAAGTTCTAGAATAGTGAATCATCACAGTTCACTCCTTTAATCCTTTACCTTAGAAATGTACATTCATATCTATAACCAGAAAAAAATATGAAGACCAGCAAGTATCACCAGTCAAATCTACATTTCATTCAGGAATAGTTAGCCTTTTACTACCTCTTTGAATGGCAATAACTCCACCTTAACCATATAAAGAGTTCTTAAAAGCAATTTACTGCTGTAAAATGTATGCCCATTATTCATAGTATGCCTTGAAGTCACTGAGCTTTTATTAAAGTATGATGATGAAGCATGATACTCAACCAGGAATCCCAGCAATGACCTTTTTACTTACCTACACTTACACTAAATATCATTCAAGATAAAACACTGTAAAGACTAAATAGACCCGAGTAGTGAAATAATTCAGTGATGCTGTAATAATCCAGTTCTATTAACTTAGGTAAGTGACACCAAGTATAAAGAGCCTTAAGAGACCCTATGGACTTTTTCTTAGGTGACAATATTGAACTGCCCAGATAACAAACAGCTGATTAGAGTAGAAAACTAAGCCTTTACTCATGTAGTCTCAAACTTTTTGTTCATATCTACATTTAACTTATGACCACCATGTACTAATAGGTAGGTAGGAAGGAGGGTGGGTAGATAGGTAGGTAGGTAGGAGGGTAGGAAGGTGGGTGGGTAGATAGGAAGGTAGAACGGTGGTAGGTAGGTAGGTAGGTATGATCAAAGATCCTTTTGCAAGCCGGCTCCCCACACCATTCACTCTCCTTCTCTCCTCCCCCCTCCCCACCTCTTATGCAAATTTCCCCTGCTTTAAGCTGAAAGGTCAGTTCTGGATTCAAGCTTGAATGAATTAAGGTTATAGGAGATAACATGCATATAGGGGATAAAGTTAAATTCACTTGTCAATAGCAAACATTATAAATGTGTGCTACTATTCCGCTAAACAGAAGACCCAGAGAAACCACAAATGTAACATAACACCACATCAGGTTTAAAAACAACCTTTGAATCAACAAAAAGAATCTTGAAGGAAGTAGTTTTATTTTACCATGGTTGAATTTACCCACCAAATGTTTAATGACCACAAAATGTTTCTGTGACTAAAACTAAAAGATAGAGCATTATAGGGAGCTAGAAATATATGTTAGATACTAACGATCTTCAAGCTTTTAAGATGTCATTGCATGAAGAAAATTATGGGAAACACTGTTCCCGATAATTACGTACACCCTTAGTGTAACATATGGAGATCACTGTCTCCGATATAGACACTGTGGTAGGCAAAAACTACCTTGTTCTTTATGCATTATGGAAGACACTGCTCCCGATAATGTAAGTTAGGTTTGTGACAAAGGTACTGGAAATTTTGCAAATTTTGAACTAAAATTATATTTTGAATAAACTGATCTGTAAAATTTTGCTTATAAGTGCTATCACAACCTTTAAGTGAAATTAATTTATAACTTGGTCACAACTCAGTATTTTAGGGAAACTACCATTTTTAGCTACTTGGCTAAATAAAAGTCTAACTTGATTAGCAATCCCTAATTAAATTTAAGTCTCTAATATTTAGCTTTACATTTTTATTTGAGGCTGTTTTCTAAAACCCCATTTTCTAAAACAAGTATTGACCATTATAAATGCAAAACTTCCAGTATCTGTTGGGTTTTATTAGCAGATGCTGCTTTTATTTAAAAAAACAAAACAAAAACGACAGTATAACTGTCATAATTATGGAAGGCACTGCTTCCGATAATTATCTTCTATAAAAAACCACCATTTATAGTGAACTCTGTCACTGATAAATAAACAATAAATATCTTGAGCCAAAATGATAGGAAGCTTTTCCAAAAAAAGTAACACTTTAACCAAAATTTGGCAGTGTGTTCTTTAAAGTCTGACAAACTGAGCTTGAAATTAAACAGCTAAAACTGGTTCTCTTTCAAAATATCTTGGAAAAAAACAAACAAAAACTAAACAAGGCTTATGCGGTAAGGGACAGAAGGAAAGAAAATATACTAGGTCTTTGGCTTCTGGTCTCCTCTCTTTATAAATAGTCTTGAGGTTAACACATTAAGGCCTTGTTCCTGCGATAAACAGTCAAACTTTATTTTATGCAGCTAAAGGACCTTATGTAGGTCCTTTAGCTGCATAAGAAAGAAGTCCCATCTCTTCTGAAAGTTAACTTTCACCCAGGGATGAGGAAACCAGCTAAATCCTTAAAGAAGGCATAGATCTCACTTGGAGGAGAAGTTCTTACAGCCTGATATCTGCTATTTAGCATCAAATGCAGATGGAGGATTACACTGAGAGACCGTGTTTATCACCTTCCTCCTCTCTTCAAGAGCCATCAGTGTTCATGTCCTTAGGATTTAGAGCAATAGTTCATGTAACTGGTTCTGACTTTTTTATAACTGTAACAGAAGAGAGGCAATTACCATTACAAAGCACTTAACATTTTAGAGAAAAACATTCTTTCATGAACATTTTTCAGTGGTTATTCATTTGAACAGGCACCTACCCTGTATTAAAAGCTGCTCCTAAAGACATCTAGTAGTACCAAGATGAATGGGTAGAACTTTAACAATATTAGGTTTTGTAGCCCTACTGAAAATTTAGCACAACCAGCACAAGTCACAAGTACCCTAAGTTAAGGGTATCACATTTAAAACTCATTGTCAATGTCCCAAATGTCACCAGAGATGGCATTTGCAGCTTCCTGAATAGTCCAAGTTGCTAAAGCCAACTGGTTTCTAAACAGTGTTTCATTAAAAGCATTGATATCCTGTCGACGCAGTTTTATGTGCTCCACTAAAGCTTGGAGAGTGTGAGAGCCAGAGCCCCAGAAGATGTGTCGGAAAGGAGCATCTTTTGGTGATACATAGGGTGAGAGGAAGTTATGTTCCACCTAAAAAACAAAACATACAAGAGTGTTGACTTTGGTTGTGAAGAACCTGATACAGTAAAGTCACTGTCACTATCCCACTTCCAAATGTTCAATTTCCCTTAATTTAAGAATGCTGAGAACGAGGTTATTAATCTTCTATTAAAAGTGTAAAACTATGCCCTAACTGATTTGGCTCAGTGGATAGCACGTTGGCCTACGGACTCAAGGGTCTCAGATTCTATTCTGGTCAAAGGCATATACCTTGTTTGCAGGCACGTCCCCAGTATGAGGTGTGCAGGAAGGAGGGCAACTGATTGATTTTTCTCTCTTATCGATGTTTCTAACACTCTATCCCTCTCCCTTCCTCTCTGTTTAAAAAAAACAAAAAACAAAAAAAACACAACAATATATTTAAAAAATAAAAAAACCCCTGTAAAACTAAATGTTAATTCCTCTGTAAAAGTGAACTCTAGTTGTATTTTTTTTTTTTTTTGTTTTGTTTTCTGTTGTTGGAGCACACATCTGGAAGATTTACAAATTTCTGCTGTAAAAGAATCTTCTGCTTCTGCTTCTTCCAAGCAGCCTAAAGGCTGGATTAGTCAACAGAAATGTAGAAAAAATGACAGCTAAAATAATTAATGATCTCTTCTTTAAAGATGTGTTTATAGCCCAGCCAGTGTGGCTCAGTGGCTGAGCATCAACCATGAACCAGGCGGTCACGGCTAGATTCTCAGTCAGGGCACATGCCTGGGGTTTCGAGTTCGATCCTTAGTGTGGGGCATGCAGGAGGCAACCAATTAATGGTTCTCTCTCCTCTCCCTCACCCCCGATTCCTTCCTTTTTTAAATCAATAAAATATATTAAAAAATAAAAATGTTTTGCAAGCCAAAAAAAAAAAAAAGTAAACACTAGATTAAATGTTTGATATGTTGATGAGTTAAAATCTGTGAATTCTAAAGCAGCAAAGGGTTCTAGGCTTCTGAAGTTGTACTTTTTAGAAATGCAAGGTTTACCAACTAAAATTTAACATATTTCTTCCTTTTCTAAGAGGTTACTTACTCTCATGATACGGTCATTGATTTCCCTCATAATAAGTCTGTCTGTTGTATCCGAATTCTTATAATCTGTTGTTAGTTTGGAAGTAGCACGATAGAAGTCTCCACGAGCAGAATATAACCACTGTAGACTCAGACCCATCTCCTGTAGCAAAAGACATTGCATTCATTATTAGATATTATATTCCTAAGGATGTTATTCTACACCTTAGTAATTTAGGTGTAGCAACTGAGAGTCTGATTAAAGGGGTGAACTAACAGCCAAGTGCAAGATCCAGAGAAAGCTAGATTAAAGCACTTGTACAGGAGTTTCCAAGTTCTCAAAACTACAGCAATATGCTCATATTTAAGCCCAGCATATAAGTATCACTCTTGGTATCAAAAGAAACCCATACTAAAAAAAAAAAATTTAACATAATCTACTTAGTCCAAGTATATAACTCTGTGTAGTATATTGTTTCCAGTTCAACTTCCCTATGGGAGAACACATGAAGCATTCTGGTTCAACAAACTTCAGAATCTAGTTATTTCCATCTGATTAGTTCTATTTTCTGATCAGTTATAATTTGTTTCAGGAAAGCCATAGTAAGACTTAGTTGTTTAGAGTGTTGTCCCGATATGCCAAGGTTGCTGGTCGATCCCCAGTCAGGGCACATACAAGAGTCAACCAATAAATGAATAAAGAAGCGGAATAAAAGTTGATGTTCCTCTCTCAATTTTTAAAAATTAAAAGGAAAGCGATAATAAGATTTGGTTATCAGTTTGAAAACTTTTGATTTTTATCAAAAGTTTGACTATTATACAGGATGAACGCTAAATAGGACTGTAACTAACTACTGGCTATGTTCTCTCTCATCGTGTCATCTCCAAAAGGCATATATAATCTAAACTCAGGTTCAAAGTCATGGCTGACACCTTTATTCTCTGAGTCCTAGCTCTTTATGGATTGCTTGGAATACATGAACAATAGAAAACATAGTTCTAGATACTGATATACTTGCCATGGTCTATACCAGATCTATTAACTCCCACCTTCCTTTTCCAATGAATTATGGATTCTAAGGAAAATATACTTCAGTTCACTTTAAAATGTATTTTAGTTACCAACCAAGTTCTTCCCCAGGAACAGTCAAACATCATTCTTCAAATTGCTTATTACTGCAGCATTAAGAACCGGGTTTTAATTAGTGCTCACCTTTATGTCTCTTTTGAATTGGTTCATATCCCTCACAAATGAAAGCATTTTCTCGTTATACATTTCATAGTTCAGGTTCAATTCAGCATTGTGGGTAAGTTTAATTATGAGTTGACCAGCAACTTCTGCTGCTGCACGGGCCATTTTATTCAACTGAGGGATGTTCTGATTCAGAAGCTCATAGGTATCCTGGGTAGTACCTAAGTAAGGATAATCTAAGTCCTGAAAAACAAAGCGAGGTTAATGTACTAAGATATGTTACACTATCAAGGTAATAGGAATTATAATTCTTCCTTTGTTTCTAAAATATTTCTAACCCGTTTTTCTTATACTCTACTTTAAAAAACACCACTTTTTGTTACTTTCTTTTAACCTAACCTACTCCTCCAAGAATGACTACTTTCTTCAAGGCTACATAGAATTCATGTTCTATTATATCAGACTAGGGGCCTGGTGCATGAAATTCGTGCACGTGTGTGTGTGTGTGTGTGTGTGTGTGTGTGTGTGTGTCCCCGTCCCTCAGCCCAGCCTGCACCCTCTCCAATCTGGGACCCATCTCACAATCCAGGACGGCTGGCTCCCAAATGCTTACCTGCTGCCTGCCCCAACCGCTTCTGCCTGCCAACCTCATCACCCCCTAATCACTCCACTGCCAGCCTGATCGACACCTAACTGCCCTCCCCTGCAGGCCTTATTGCCCACAACTGCCCTTCTTTACTGGCCATCTTATGTGCACATGGGGTCGGTTATCTTATGTTGGAGTGATGGTCAATTTGCATATTACTCTTTTATTAGGTAGGATATCCAGAAGAGATTTTTAGCCAGATTTCTCAGGTTATATCCTGTTATATTTGTTCTGGAAAGTTTGACTCATTTTAATGAGGAAAGAGAAAAGCATATATGAAATGTTCTTTCAATATAAAGTATTACTACTCTTAGATTATTGGCCAATAAGTAGCCTGTTATTAAGGGTTCTTACTTAATTGAAGTTTTAGCAAATAAAATCAAATGCTAATTAGGCTAATTGAGACAATTCTATTGTAAAACTGATAAGGTAGCATACAACCTAACGTGTATAACTTCCTAAAAACATTGTAAGCACTCTAGGAAACTTATTCTCAAATTTGATGTAAGAAAATCAATATACAACACTTCAAAGTTCTTCACTTACCCCACAAAAACAGAAAGAAACTGCTGGGATTCCAGAATATGCAAGGAAAGGGTAAGCAGCATCTTCAAGAGAAAATTTCTCCCTGCAAGGAAAGAAGGTGCTTTTTAGAAAGTTTTCTAAAGAACAGATAGTGCTACCCACCCCAAAAGTCTTAAAAGGAATCTCTTTAGGTTTAGGTAAGTTCACTGCAAAGTTACACAGACTCTGTCTTAACACAGTAGGTGCTACTGCATGATTGTTATTGTTTTTCTATCAGCTGTTCATTCACTTGTCTCAACTTACACTTTGTTCATCCAGTTGCTATCCCGATATAGAGACAACCCAGTAACTGGATGTTTCACCTATTAAATAAGAAATTAAGTTATCATTAAAATGAACCTTTCTGAAATATATTTCTCTTTTACAAACATTTATTAAAATATATTACATTTTTATTCTATCTCCTTTAAAAAATTTTAGGTCAAAACAATCTCAAATTTTTGAAGTTATTCCTACTAAAGCTTATCCTGCTAGTATCTTTCAGTTAAGGTGAGAGAAAAAAAACTTAACATTTTAAAGGTGGTTTAACCACAATTTGAAAAGCCCTCTCCTAACCTTCATGGCATGTCTATCTCATTTCTTCCTTCTAGCACATTTCATACTCCTACTGCTAGCCTAACCTGCAAACACACTATTGCCTTATTGGAGACCCTATTATAATCCCTAATTTCCCGTGGGATCAAGGTCAAGTTCCCTGACCCTTGGTTTCCTTCCAACTTTAATCACCCCAATATATAACCTCTAATTGTGGTAGGCAAATTTGGTTCTTTACTCTTTCAAAACTATGATCATTCACATGTCTGTCTCTATTCAATGAATATCTTATCTGACCATCTGATTTAAGTCTCAGGGATAGTTTTAACTCTGCTACATATTCCTAAACAGACTACATATTGTTTGTGACCAAAGCCCTTTGTATACCACTCCCATGGTTCAATAGGCTAGGGAAAAATAAGCCAAGAGCATGACTGAAATAACGCTGCTATAAAATTTATTCTAAGTTCACTTTAGCTATCAATATTTTTCACCTTATGTGAATTAGGCAAAAAATTAAAGTTATATGTTTTCATAATTAGGTATACACTTACTTCTTGCATTGTTCTCTCAATGAGTGAATACAACAATGGGCTGGCAGAAACCTTGAAGTTGCTGGTACCTGCAAAGAGATTATTCTAACATTGCACCTTCTCTAGTCAAGCAATTTTCACACTGCTACTTCGACAACTAAAAGTACTTAGCAAATAGGAAGACAGGAAGATAAAAACCAAGATGAGTGGCATATACAACCTATCCTCTTAATGAAGAAGATAAAAGTTCTTTAGTGACCATTAACATTAATTTGACTCAACTGAATCTCTTATTGCTTGAGTTTGCATACTTTAATGTTATTTTTTTGTGTTTGTTTTTTTGTTATTGTTCATCCATGTTAAGGCAGTCATCTGCTAATTATAAGTAAGCTTGTTATATTTAAAACATTCTGCTGTACAAGTTAAATGACAATGATAAATCCAGTAAGATTTTGTTAACTCCCTCCTTTTTTGTTCCAATGGAGAAACATTTTACGCTTCTCATTCATCCACTGGCTATACTTGCATTTTTAATTACATTTAATCTCTTTTAATTTGTATCCCTATCTATGATGCCACAATATAAAAAACTTTTTAAAAAATATATATTTTATTGATTTTTTTTACAGAGAGGAAGAGAGAGGGATAGAGAGTTAGAAACATCAATGAGAGAGAACCAGCTGCCTCTTGCACACCCCCTACTGGAGTTGTGCCCGCAACCAAAGTACATGCCCTTGACTGGAATCAAATGAGGGACCTTTCAGTCCGCAGGCTGACACTCTGTCCACTGAGCCAAACTGGTTTCGGCAAGAAACGTTTTAATAATAATTTTGTAACTGAATTTTTACAATATCCTGCTAAACATAATTATTAATAACAAACTACAATGTCTGCTAATGACTGGTTACTATAATTTAATGGACAATTAAGAGAAAGCTACGTGAATCTTTTGATCTGGAAATGGCCAATGTAAATTGTAAAAAGTAGTAAGTGTTGCTTTAGAAAGCTCTCTTTTGCTGTTTTATAATTAGTTTATCTAAATTAATGAATAGCTAATGAAATGTATACTCACCAAGAACAGCTTTATCCAGATTAATGTAAGTGAAAGCCTTTATATGCAAGCTGGAAAGGTATCCCTAGAAGAGAAGGAAAAATACTCATGTAGCAATCTAATTATCACACAAAGTAGCCATTATTAGGAGTTTCTTTTTAATTTGGATTCTATTGGGACTAAATGTTCTATTGAGAGCATGGTTTCTGGAAGACAAGTTTAAGATAACACAAGTCTGGGTGCCATTCTGGGTGTCATTAATACCTCCAGCCATTCAGTGGCACCCACAGCTCCGAAGTCACCAGCACTCCAGCTAGCAAAGACAATACTTCTTCTGGGTTTAAACCCGCCTGCAAGACAACAAAAGGTTAGCTTCATTTGGGGGGAAAGTATAGGCAGACAAAGCGACTTAAAAATAAAATCAGAAACTTCTAACTCAAGACGGATTAAAAAATTATTTTCCTTTTAAGGCCCCAGGTGAGAACAAATAAATTTTGAAAGTGATCTGCATGATCGCATTATAAGGAAATAATAACTGCTGGATCACTATGTTGCACACTGAAGCTAATGTAATATTGTATGTCAACTATATGCAATAAAAATAAATTTTTACAAATTAAACAAAGTAATCTAGAAAGAAAAAGGTAGGTAATCATTTGCAAATAATACTTCAAGTTCGCAGCAGGAACCAGCTTACTGAAAGGCACTTTTTTCAGCTCCATTCTTTGGAGTCCCTAACCTTGTGGACCAAGAATATTTGAAATCACAGTGTGTCTTATTTGAGAATAATTTGTTTAAAAGTGTGTAACTTAAAAGTTGCTTAAAAAACAGTTGTTGCCAGAACCGGTTTGGCTCAATGGATAGAGCGTCAGCCTGGGGACTGAAGGGTCCTGGGTTCAGTTCTGGTCAAGGGCATGTACCTTGGTTGCGGGAGCATCCCCAGTAGGGGGCATGCAAGAGGCAGCTGATCGATGACTCTCATCGATGTTTCTAACTCTATCTCTCTCCCTTCCTCTCTTTAAAAAAAAAAAATCATTAAAATATATTTAAAAACACACACACACACACACACACAAACACCCCCCCCCCCAAAAAAAAACAGTTGTTATGAAATAAGATAAAAAAGATTAAATAATGTGGTGAAGGTTTGATGTGTATGGGTAGATATAGAGAAGTGGCAAATACCATAGGAAAAAGGCTTCAAAGTGAGCTTTTATATTTATAACATACAAATGTTTTCCCATATTCATAAATATATCAAATTATACAAAAGTTTACAATCCTATAATAAAAGTAATATGCAAATTGACCAAATGGCAAAACGATCGGTTGCTATGACACACACTGACCACCAGGGGACAGATGCTCAATTAAGGAGCTCTCTCCTCCCCTCTCCATCCCCCCAATCCATGGCGAGTGCAGCAGCCCGCCTCATGGCAGTGCTAAAGGATGTCCAACGGCAGCTTGGGCCATTCCCCCAAGGGCTCCCAGACTGCAAAAGGCAGGCCAGCTAAGGGAGCTCCCACCTCCCCAGTGCACGATTATTGTGAAACTAGTGAAACTATAAAACATTAATACAGAGATATGTCATTGCTTGCTTTCAAATAGATTCCTTGGGGGCCATGTTAGATTTACCACATCATTCTGGGTATGTCAAACTCAGAATTAGTGCCAAATATAACACTTTTCAGTATCTCAAAAGAAATGGGTGGGCCCTGGCTAGGTAGCTCAGTTGGTTAGAGCTGTCATTCCAGTAAGCCAAGGTCTCAGGTTCAATCCCCAGTCAGGGAACATATAAGAATCAACCAATAAATGCAATAGTTAACTAATTGATGCTTCTCTCTCTCTTCCTCTCTCTAAAATTAATCAATTAATATATATATATATATATTTTTAATGGATGATTCCCAGTATAATGAAGACTCTTCATGGAAAGCTGTTTCAAAGTCAAAGGCAGGGATATAATGTATAGCACAGAGAATACAGTCAATGATACTGTTAATAACTTTGTATAAGTAAGAGATGGTTACTAAACCTATCATTGTAATTATTTCATCAGACATATAAAATGTCAATTCACTATGTGGAACACCTGGAATCAATTTGTATGTTAACTAAATTTTTGAAAATCAAAAGAAGATACAACAGAAGATCTGCTTTATACTAAGGAACTCAATGTTTAGGAGTGACAAAGGTAAAAGTGAGCAAAGCATGCTATACTATTTAATACTATATGTAGCACATAGATATTCTCAACATTTGCACTCTACCTTGAAAGACCAAATCAGAGAATGTCTGGGCAAGTTCCAATAGAAGGGCTGTTCCCACACTGGATTTTGCAGCTCCAGGACCCCAGGCATCCCTCTGGGCCCCTACTACAATATAGCGACCTTAAAAAAAAAAATACAATGAGCTTTTAAATTATTAATAAGCATATTCATAGAAGGGTAAAAATTAAGTATATGCATTCAGGGTAAGAGAACCTTAGGACTTTGGGATTAAAAATTCGTATGACAATATTAATATTTTTCCTTATTAGTACTGGTTCTTTTGTTTACATTATCAATTAAGTTTACTCATCAACTAAGTATTTGTGCTCACTTATCTATACTAATAAAAGGGTAAGTATGCTAATTAGATCAGAAGTCCTTCCAGACAAAGCCACAGCAGCTGCAAGGGCCCATCCAGCTCCATGGTCTCTTTAGTAAAAGCCACGGGAGAAGGCACCGCAGGAGAAGGAAGAAGGTGGTGCCACAGGAGAAAGGAGAAGGCTGGCCCCATGCAAGAATGGAGGTGAGAAGGCTAGCACCGGGGGAGAAGGGAGAATGGAGAAGGGAGAATGGAGAAGGGAGAAGGAAGAAGGGAGAAGGTCAGCTGTGGGAGAAGGGAGAAGGCACCGAGGGAGAATGGAGGTGAGAAGGCCAGTGATGCAGGAGAAGGGAGAAGGGGGCAGTTAGGGTATCAGGCTAAGAGGGGAGAGCAGTTAGGGGATCAGGTTGGCAGGGGAGAGCAGTTAGGAGCCAGTGGTTTCAGATTGTGAGAGGGGTCCCAGATTGGACAGGGTGTAGGCCAGGCTGAGGGGACCTCATCCCCCGTGCACTAATTTCGTGCACTGGGCCTGAAGTCCTATATAATAAAAGGCTAATATGCAAATAGACCAAAAGGAGGAGCGACTGGTTGCTATGATGTGCACTGACGGCCAGGGTGCAGACACTCAATGCTGGGTCAGTGCACCTCCACAGGGGGAGTGCGACTCAGTCAGAAGCTGGACTCACAGCTGGTGAGCACAATGGTGGTGGCAGGAGCCTCTCTGCCTCCACATCAGGTGGACATCCCCTGAGGACTCCCAGACTGCAAGAGGGTGCAGGGGGGTGCTGAAGGACAAATTTCAGGTCTCTAGTTGTTTAACAAGCAACTGAAGTCCAAGGATTTCCAATACTCAATGATATGACGATTTAAATTATTAAGTCACAATGGTCAATTTTTGACAAGTTACTTTCCTGGGGCTTTATTTAGCTCCCAAGAAAACTGACAGCTACATGACTCACTTTAAGCCATACAAGAGTTAGCTTTTCACAAAGCCACACCAGCCTTCATACACTCCCTCCTCTGGCCACATGCTTAGTAGGGAGAAAACCAGAAATACATAAATAGAGCAATAGACACAGTTAGGTAGAGAAATCAGGGGTCTTTACCTGGTTCTTCAAAACCTTTAATAACACCAAAGGTATTAAAAATTCTTATCTCTTTCTGTACATTGTTCACAATGAGTTTCACCTTCCTATTCTCTGGGGTTTCCAGCTTACACATAGCACCCGCTTTCCAATTAGAAGGACAGTCTCCTTCCATATTTCTAGAAGTGAAAAACAGAAATCAGCATTGAGTTACTGCTGCTTTTCCCAGGTTTACAAATCAGTCCTTCTTACATCCAGTAGAGTTCTAGGTTAAGAGGTCATATAAGAGAACATACAAAATTTACTCTCTAGTGGCTATGTTTCTTATTCTGACCTGTAGACAACCATGAGTTACTTCCTGTTTAAGCACAATATTCTTACCTTCTTCTTCTGATGTGTGCCTTTCTGCCAGAGAGTAGTTATAGTTTACTTTTTTTTTTTTGTCTTCAGCTTTTTTTTAAAAAATATATTTTTTATAGATTTTTTACAGAGAGGAAGGGAGAGAGATAGTTAGAATCATCGATGAGAGTCATTGATCAGCTGCCTCTTGCACACCCCTCACTGGGGATGTGCCCGCTACCAAGGTACATTCCCTTGACCGGAATCAAACCTGGGACCTTTCAGTCCACAGGATGATGCTCTATCCACTGAGCCAAACCGGTTTCAGCTATAGTTTACTTTTAAAATACATACCAAGAGGGACTCAGAATGAAGTTCTTATATAAAAGTCCATTAATATATTCATTCCCATGTTTGCCCTAGCTGGTTTGACTCAGTGGATAGAGTATCAACCTATGGACTGAAGGATCCCAGGTTTGATTCCCAGTCAAGGGGATATGCAGGAGTCAGTCAGTCAATCAATGATTCTCATCATTGATGTTTCTATTTCTCTCCCTCTCCCTTCCTCTCTCAAATCAATAAAACATATATTTTAAAATAAAAGAGTGACTTGAAAGACCTTTAAAATTTATATATATATATATGTATTCCCACATTTACTAACTCCACTAACATGGGTAGTATATGTACAGAGGCTATCTCAGTTATAAAAGAACTAGAGGCCCACTGCACAAAATTTGTGCACTCGGGGGTAAGGTTGGGGTGTCCTTCAGCCTGGTCTGTACCCTCTCACAGTTGAGGAGCCCTTGGAGGATGTCCAACTGATGGCTGGCTTAGGTCTGCTCCCTCTGGAATCAGATATCCTTAGTGCTGCTGTGGAGGCAGAAGATGCTCCTGTCACTGACACTGTGCTCGTGAGCCCAGCTTCTGGCTGAGCGGGACTCCCCCTGTGGAAGCGCACTGACTACCAGGGGGCAGCTCCTGCATTGAGTGTCTGCCCCCCGGTGGTTGGTGCATGTCCTGGTGACCAGTCCTTCCACTGTTGGGCTGAAAACAGCTTTCCGACACCCACCAAGGGGTCCCAGATTGCGAGAGGGTGCAGGCCAAGCCGAGGTGCACAATTTGGGCTGGGGAGGGATGCAGGAAGTTAGCCAGCCAGGAAGGGACCATGGGAGGGCTCTAGGGTGTGTCCAGCCAATCTTGCTCAGTTCTGATCGGCCGGATCCCAGCAGAAAGCTAACCTACCGGTCGGAGTGTCTACCTGCTAGTGGTCAGTGCATGTCATAGTGGTTGGTCGACCAAATGACTGTCTGCCCTGTGGTGGTCAGTGCATATCATAGCAACTTGTTGAGTGGCCTTAGCATATCATTAGCATATTATGCTTTGATTGGTTGAACGGCCAACTGGATGACTGGACACTTAGCATATTAGGCTTTTATTATATAGGGTATTCTCAGAGAAAAGTATCACATGATCTCACTCTTATGTGGAATCTAATGAACAACATAAACTGAAGAACAAAAATAGATCTAAAGACACAGAAGCACCGAAGCACCGAACAAACTGTCAAACCTCAGAGGGAAGGTAGAGGAGGGTGGGCGAGTGGGAAGAGATTAACCAATTAACTTATATGCATATATGCATAACCCAGGAACATAGACAATAGTGTGAAGGTCTGGGTGGTGGGTGGGGGCATGTACCAAGAGTTCACCAGTTTGATTCCTGGTCAGGGCAAATGCCCAGATTTCAGGGTCGATCCCCAAAAGGGAGTGTGCAGGAGGCAGCTGATGGATGTTTTTCTCTCATCGTTTCAATTTCTCTCCCTATCCTTTTCCTCTCTCTAAAAGAAAATCCAGAACTAATGAGTATTATAGCTCAACATGAATCCCAACAGATCTTTTCCAATAACTGAATGGGTTGCAAAACACAGTAAATATTCAAACAGAGCTATGCTAGGTATATTGTACAAGGAATTCACTAAGTGAATTGAACAAGGACTCCTTGAGTTTATAAATCCAAGGTCTATCATTAATATCACTTTATGTTGAAAAATTTCAGTTTTTTATCTATACCAAGTTAATAGCTATCCATCCCCAAAATGTCCCAAATGTGGAAAACAATAGCCAATTGATTTAAGACTTTATCAAATCAACAGATTATTCTCCTTAATCATAAAGTCTCACCCTGCAAGGCAGTTTTCAAATAAGAACTTACTCAAACAGTTTCTCTACAGCGGTTCTGGAAATGGTTTGGACAGGTATATTAGGCAATCCTGATGACTGAGATGGTGGAAACTGAGTATGATTGAAAGAAGGGAATCCCGGTGTATAAGGGTCACCTGTTCCCAAATGAGCCTAGTAAAACAAAAGAGTAATCATCTCTATTAGGTACTTATTCAAGACATTTCCTTGTAAGATTCAGATTGAGTGTGAGGCTATAGCACATGAAAGTCCCCAAGTGTGAGTGGATCTATGATACATGACGCTTGCTTTTTATGGCATGTGCCAAATTCAATTCAAGACACTACAAGTCTCCCTCATCAGTGGGAAATATATTCTAAGACCCTAGTGACTAGGATCTAGTGGATGCTTGAGATTGTGGATGAATACTGAATCCTACATATATATATATACATATACTTTATTGCTTCCTCTTTGGCATAAACAAACCGCTAGCATCCCCACTCTTGCACTTTGGGGCCATTACTGGATAAAATTAAGCTTTCTTGAACATAACCACTGCAATACCATGCCAGTCAAGCTGATAACGAAGGTGGCTACTTAGTGACTAATGGGCAGGCAGTGTATATAAAATTGATACACTGGACAAAGGGATGATTCTAATCGTAGGCTGGACAGACTGGGATAACTCAAAAATTTCATTATGTTACGCAGGGCAGCACACACAATTAAAAACCTATGAATTATTTCTGGAAGTTTCCATGTAATATTCTCAGATCACAACTGACAGTGGATAACTGAAAGCAAAACTGGATACTAAGGGACTAGATTATACTGATAAAGTACTTTTAGCAATAAGTAGCAACTAGGTTTCAATGTCATATAATTTACCTTCTTGCTACTGCTAAAACTCTCCCAGACAAAAGTATTTAAGGAAGGCACAGTTTTATTTCTACTAATGTAAGTGAAATCTAGCAGTAATTTAGAAAACCCAAAAACTCATTTGCTCAAAAATAAGAACTCACATGTCCAAAGAGTGGAAGATTTGCATTAGAAACAGGAAATGTAATAGAGTCCATGTAGATCAAAACACCAATTGCATTTAAACTTTCAGCATTTGCAACCTAAAAAACAAAACACAAAGCTCAGAATATGAAGAACTAATCATATAAATTTAGATTACATACTAGACTTCATGCTATCTGACAAAGGGTTACAGAGGGTAACACCCATGCTCCCTATATTCAAAATAGCTTATGTTTAGAAAAAATGTCTGAAGTAACTAAGTGTTTAGAAGAGAAATAATAAAAACCCATCCAAGATAGTTGCTGTCTTGATATGTTCCATTCTAGCTCCTTGTGTAGGTATGACTTTTAATTTTCATAAAACCTACTTATTATTGATGAATTTTATATATATATTTATATATATATATATATATATATATATATATATATATATATATATATAAAACTTTGTTACAAAGGTAATTTAAACTGCTTTTAGTGAAGCATTTTTGATGAGTTCATTTTCACTGAAAGATAATGGCTACAAAATAATCCAAGTGGATATGTCAGTTTTGAAGTATCCTATTGACTTTAGATAATTGGTATTCATTGAGTACTTTAATAGATTTATATTATCAGGTATGAGCATTTAAGATCACTTGTTTTCAGAATGTAATAAAATAAAATAACATTTAACTGAGAAAGATGACACCAATATATAACTCATACTTACCTTTTCAGCAAAGGTGATTTTCCCTGCTCTAACAAGCACTAAAGATCCATTCACAGGAGTGCTTAAAGCCTCAAAGTCTTGTTTAGTGCCAAAATTAGCATGGACCAGTTTACCCTAAAATAAAGACATTAAACTTAATGAGCATTAGGATATTAGAACAGCCACAGAGTCTAAGGCAGAATGGTTTTACAGATCAAACTCAAGACAGGGTAAAAGCAGACTAGGACCTAGAAAGGACACATGTGATTTCTAAAGTCAAAAGTAGTCAGGGAGCTGAAACCGGTTTGGCTCAGTGGTAGAGCGTCGGTCTGCGGACTGAAGGGTCCCAGGTTAAGGGCATGTAGTATGTTGGTTGCGGGCACATCCCTGGTAGGGGGTGTGCAAGAGGCAGCTGGTCGATGTTTCTCTCTCATCGACGTTTCTAGCTCTCTATCTCTCTCCCTTCCTCTCTGTAAAAAATCAATAAAATATATATATTTTTAAAAAAGTAGTCAGGGATGCCTGATCACTGTGGCTCACTGGTTGAACATTGACCCATGAATGTCATGATTTGATTCCTGGTCAGGACACATACCCAGCTTGCAGGCATGATCTCCAGAAGGAGACAGCCATATCGATGATTCTTTGCCATCAATTATGTTTCTATCTCTCTCTCCCTTCCTCTTTTGACATCAATAAAAACATATTTTTTAAAAAAGTAGTTAGGGTTATCAGGAATGAAATCAACATTTCTGGTCTCCTACATTCAAGTTTTCATTATCCCACGCTATCTTTAATCGACATTGATATATTTAGATTAAGTAATCTATTTTACATTGCTTCAGACATCTTGGGGGAAGAGAAAGGATAGCAAGATACGTTAAACACAGAGATATATACAATATAAATATTGTAGGCTAGCCATGGCAACACCAATTACATAATGGTCTCATACTTAAACCCCAGACTCAAGACTCGTAGGTAACCAGGCAAAGCGACACAGCACAAGTTAAGCAGGAAGACAAGAGAACAATAAAACTTCATCTGGCTTAAAAGGCATCCACTAGAAAGGTCCCTAACATATGTATATGTGGCCTTATAACATGAAAAACATAGACAGAACTATTTTACCTAGCAGTTTTTTAATTTCTGTAATAGTTGGGCCATATTTACCTAAATTCCATGATATCAAGCATTAAAGAATCAAGCTAAGTCAAAACCAGTTTGGCTCAGTGGATAGAGCATCCGCCTGTGGACTGAAAAGTCCCAGGTCCTATTTCGGTCAAGGGCATGTACCTTGGTTGCGGGCACATCCCCAGTAGGGGGTGAGCAAAAAGCAGCTGATTGATGATTCTTTCATCAGTGTTTCTAACTCTCTATCCCGCTCTCTTCCTCTCTGTAAAAAATCAATAAAATATATTTAAAAAAAAAAGAAAAAGAATCAAGCTAAGATTGGTTGTAGCCAAGAGGTTATTGATCTGACCCACATAAGAAGAAATCTGTTATATGCAAATACATATTACCATGTGTCAGGCACTGTACAAAGCTCTAGGACATAGAAATAAATGAAACTAACTCCTAGCTCTTTATATTCCAACTAGAGGCTGTGCACATGAAATTGTGCATGGGGGTGTAGGTTGTTTGTCCCTCAGCCCAGCCTGCACCCTCTTCAATCTGGGACCCCTTAAGGGATGTCCAACCACCCATTTAGGCAGGCAGTTAGACATTTCTCCCATAATCCAGGACTGCTGGCTCCCAAATGCTCACCTGCCTCTGCCTGATTGCCCCTAACCACTTCTGCCTGCCAGCCTGATCACTCCTAATCACTCCCCGGCCAGCCTGATCGACTCTTAACTGCTCCCTGGCCAGCCCAATTGCCCCTAACTGCCCCACCCCCACCCCCAACTGCCCTCCTCTGCTGGCCCGGTCATCCCTAACTGCCCTCCCTGCTTTCCTGATCATCCCCAACTGCCCTATACTGCAGGCCTGGGTTTCCCCCCCAAGTGCCCTCTCTTGATGGCCTGGTCTCCCCCAATGCCCTCCTCTGCCAACCTGGTCACCCCTAACTGCCCACAACTGCCCTCCCCTACAGGCCATCTTGTGTCTTGAAGTGATGGTCAATTTGCATATTACTCTTTATTAGATTATTAGATAGGATGTAGAATCAAATAAATGCCTGGTGCTACATAAAGAAAAAATGTTGCGGGAACATCCCCAGTAAGGGTGTGCAAGAGACAGCTGGTCGATGTTTCTCTCTCATCAACATTTCTAGTCTCTATCTCTTTCCCTTCCTCTCTGTGAAAAATCAATAAATTTAAAAAAAGCACGGGCTCCTTAGTTAAGGAGTAGTCTTCAGTTCCTTTAGCTGAAGTTCCTTTGACCTGACCCCCAATGCCTTTCAAAATTATCTTTCATCTTTGGATTCCTTCTTGAATCTATGCATCAGTCCCTTTCTCCAGATTGCTGAACCCTTTGTAAGGGTGGGACAAGAACCCTGGCAAGAGCACAGTGAAGAAAAGGGAGCAGTAGGATTACTTAGAGCCTTGCCAACCAAGATGAAGATTTGGAATTTCATTTTAACCATGGCATAGGAGGGTTAAGAATAAGAATATCTCATGACTAGTTACATTTTATAAGTAAATTTATACTATAACTCCTAAGAACAGTAAAGACAATGAGCTTGTGAGCTATTCAACAGAAAGAAGAAAAAAAAAAGTCATGCAGTATTTTGTCTTACTTACAGTAACTGTCCCAGCCTTACTGTATGCCACGTAACCCTGAGGGTTCTCCACAAGGAATCCTGAGTCTTGTTTCCCATTCATTACTGTCACTGAGTTTGGATTACTGTTTAAAAGATTGTGTTAAAATGAAGCTAAGAACAGCATTGGGGGAAAAAATTAAATAGCTTTAATACATTTAGTCTTTGCTATATTTATCATTAACTAAAGTGGCTACTTCTATAAAATAAGTTTACCATCTTCAACATACCTGCTTTTGACCTGAATCTTAACAAAATGTTCATTATGCCAGGCTTTGCTGAATTGAAGTTTACGGAATTTATCTTCAATATAAAAAGCAAGGTTTGTATCTTTTTGAGATCCAGCCTCACGAGGAACATAAGAATTTTCATTCAGCTGCCTGGATGAAAAAATGTCACTGTTAAAATAAACATTAAACTAAAAATTATCAAATAAATTGTTTTTTAATAGAGAGAACATATATAGGTTTCAGGTATAGACCATTATTTTTACCTACTTTAAAGTATTGCGAATCCCCTGGAAGCAAAACTTCTTATTTTGACAATATTTACTTCAACCATAATGCCTAATGTACAGTATATACAAAAGTATTCATCAGATGGGATAAAAATGCCAATATTTCTAATTTAAAACTAAAAAAACTATTGTACCACTGGAAACTATAAAAGAACTATTGTACCATTGGAAGCTAGTAAAGCTAGAAAAAGGTAAAATATAAATTTGTCCTTTACAGTGTTAGATATGTGTGTAAGGAAGAATTTAAAAATCTAAGGATCGCCCTTTTGTGGCTCATCTGGTTGAGCGTGGACCATGCACCAAAAGGTTGCTGGTTGATTCCCTGCCAGGGCACCTACCAGGTTGTGAGCTAGATCCCCTGTTGGAGGGTGCAGGAGCAGCCAATTGATGTTTTTCTCTCTATATATAATCAATTTAAAAGTATCTAAAGACAGAAACCTTTATAATACTTAAGGCATGGATTAATGACTAAGAACCAGAAGAAATCAAGGAATACTAGAGACATGTCAATTAGTCTCAACCGAGAGAACCATCGATTGGCTGCCTCCTTGGGGATCGGACCCACAACCTGGGAATGTGCCCTTGACTGGAATCAAACCTGGGACCCTTAAGTCCAAAGGTTGATACTCTATCCACAGAGCCAAACCAGCTAGAGTGGACCTGTGAATTCTTCTTTTCCCTATCAACATAGTTTGACTACTTTACTGATTCCTTTACTCTCTAACAAAACATGGGAAGTCTCCCCTACTGTATAAAAAGTCTTTCCTCCAGAACGTCTCCTTTGTTTAGATACTAAGGTCAAACTTGTGAAGTCGCTCAGACTTACCTGATTGTGTTGATGAACTCTATGGTATCCAGTTTCTTTGACAACATTGCTTTGAGGTCTGACCAAAATAACTGGGGAGATACGTCAGGCCGGCTCTCTTCAACTTCCTCTTCAGTCTCTATCTTTGGAGACTCTGCTTTCTCACATTCAGTTTTTGACTCTACACGTTTACAATAGCCCAAATAGCCAATCAAAAATCCTAAAGATGAAAAATTACAGAGCTAAATTCACAGAATTTTATTTATAACCTAATCCTATAGGGATTAAAATATTCTGTTTTGAGAATACTGTCTTTAATCTAATTTAAAGAAGTTAGAAAGGAATCAATGTAGGTTTTATATATTTCAAATCATTTAATCTAATAAATTACAAGAAATTTATTTTTAAGTTACCTTTTTAAAGCATGGGAGTCTTTCTTCCCAGTAGCCTTCCTTGAATCCTTAGGCCAAGCTTCTATGCTACAAATATACTGAGCGTATTTCTAGTCTAATATTTGCACATTACACTGAAATGATTCATGTGCCTCGTTCTCTGACCAGGCTAAACTCAAAGACAGGTATAGAGTCTTAATTATTGTATTTCTACTACTTTGCACAATGGCACACAAGAAGGTACAATATAAATGTTTGCTGAATTGAATTAACAACTTGGTGACAAGGAACATTTAAGTTTTAAATGGCACTCTTACCAATCAAGAAAAAGATGATTACAGCAATAGTCCCACAGCAGAGTAATCCATTAAGCCTTTTCCGTTTTGCAGTGTAAGCACGATTACCCCTCATGTTATTGTCAGTATCTTCTTCATCTGCAGCCAGTTTCATCTCCACACGACTGTTATCGCCATCTACTTGCCGTGTGAGACTAAACCGGCTATATGACAACGGATCTCCACCAAACTGAGATTTAAAAAAAAAAAAGAAAGAAAGCATTAAGATGGGAGTAGGAACATTAACAAAAACATTTGGTCAAGCAATATACTTATTATTGGGCCATTACTATGACTTACGATATGTTCTTAAGGAAAAAGAAGTCCCTGCCCTAGCTGATTTGGCTCATTGATAGTCGGCCTGGAAAGGGTCCTCGGCCAATTCCAGCCGAAGACACATACTTGGGTTGCAAGCTCAATCCTGACCCTAGTCAGGATTGGGAGCAACCAATTAATACGTATCTCTCACGTTGAGGTTTCTTTCTCTGTCTCTCCTCCCTTCCACTCTCTCTAAAAATCAATGGAAAAAATATCCTGGGGTGAGGATTAACAACAACAAAAGCAGTTCCCTTTTCAAACCAATATTCTTCTGTGCACCAAGTTCTGTCAATGGCAGGTTATGGCTAGAACATATACTGGCCTTCTTCATCTCCTTCAGCCTTTTCATTCAGGTTTGGTTACGTAGATACATGTTGATCTATGCTTTTAGTTCAACTTGGCAGTTCCTCTCTACAATGCCCCAAATACCCTAAAGTCCTGACAAGATTTTCCATAATTAATTCTACTCAATACGAAATACTATATTCTTCTTTTATGGGATGAGTTATGCCTGGTGATCACCATTTCAAATGTAAATGAATACCTGATAACAGCTTTGGATAGTATTTCATGATTACTTGGTCAAAGTCATTATTGCATACTTCACATTCTTACAAACTACTGACAGAAATATAAACTTAAAATATCTTACCAAGTTGGAGAATGCTGATCTGGCTTGATCCATCATCCTGAGTTGCCACACAGAAGAGCCTAGTAATAAAATAGAATTATCCTAATGAGATAGATGCCATTGTATCTAAATAATAAGGTTTTTTATTACCACACTAAATTATGTATCAAAGTTACTTTAAAAATTTTTTAAATATTTTAATCCTCCCACCCATCCCCGACTGGGGATTGAGCCCACAACCCAGGCATGTGCCCTGACCAGGAATCGACCATGACCTGCTGGGTTCATAATCGACATTCAATTACTGAGCCATGCCAAACAGGCTCAAATTTACTTTTAAATATTATCACCTTTCTAGAAAGGGCTTCTCACCAAGATATGTAGTTTATGACAACTAAGCTTATTGCAATCTTTGATCAGATATCAAATTGAGGTACAATGGGCAGACAGCCTCAAGGACATTATTAGGGGAGTTAAGAAATGTCAATATATATTATATACTGGGACAGTATTGCATCTTAGATTTGGGGAATGTGATAATGGTATTATTTTTGGAGAGTAATGGGTAAAAATTTAAGGATGAGGTATTATAATGCCTGTAACTTTCATTTAAAAAGTATATAAGAATTAAAGCAAATGTGGAAACAGTTAACGACTGATGTGTCTACGTAAAGGGTGTATGAATATGCATATTACTGCTATTTCATTTTTTCTTGTGGGCTTGAAATTTTTTCAAAATTAAAAAACGTGGGGAAAACTAGTTGACTATCATTTATGGTATGTAAATTTATGTAACTGAATTTAATCAAAGGGACAATACAAAAGAAATAAGACTGGCACCTAAAAAAAACCAACAAAGCATCTCCAATAGAAAAGGAGAGAAAACCTGATCCTTCTGATTAAATGAACAGTTCCTATAAATGATATGATAGATCTTTGATGCAAAAAGAATACACAAAAGGAAAAACATAGAGTACTTCCTAGATGAAGAGCCAAATTATCTGAGCGGCTAAGTGACTTGATTAAGACTGAAAAATTATAATCTAAAAATGAAGTTCAATGTGTTACTGGGTTATAGAAATTGTGTTCTCGCTTCTAAAAATATTAAACTAATCTTAACTTTTTCCAAAGAAAAACACCTCTGTAGCCAATAAAACCCTATGTTAAGCCGAAGCCGGTTTGGCTCAGTGGTAGAGCGTCAGTCTGTGGACTGAGGGGTCCCGGGTTCGATTCCGGGCAAGGGCATGTATCTTGGCTGCGGGCACATCCCCGGTAGGGGGTGTGCAGGAGGCGGCTGGTTGATGTTTCTCTCTCATCAACGTTTCTAGCTCTCTATCTCTCTCCCTTCCTCTCTGTAAAAAATCAATAAAATAAATTAAAAAAACAAAAAACCTATGTTAAGTTAAAACATAATTATTAACTGAAATCTGGATTTTTAATTTGGTTTGAGTGCATCTACACACTGGAAAATGATACTATGTTGAGATGTATAAAATGAACATTTATGCCATACTACCTATTTTATGGCTTTTTCGATACTATCAGTATACTTACAGCACATTTAACACCTACATGACACAAAGCAAGTTGTGAGATATATGCAGACTGTAAACAAAAGATATTATATAAACTTAAATTAGAAAAAGTCTCCTATCAAAACCTACAACACATTTTATTTAAGGCTGTAGCTTTAAATAAAGTGTTATAGGTTTAAGACCAGTGCCAATAATCAATAAATAGATCATATTCTTAGAAGCACCATCTCTTGCCCCATCTGGTACAAAATGCTTATCACTATTGCTGCACCAGAACTGCCCTAACCCAATCACTAGAGCCAGAACTAGAAGGCCCCACCCTGAACCAATTTTAATCATCCTTTTCTAGGAAAAAGCAGCTTACTTTAATGCTCATCTGAATCAGCCATTCCTCAAGGTTTCTAGTTTTAAATTAATTTTAACACTAAAGTGACAACATATTTTTTAAAGTGATCTAAATAAAGGATTTAAATAAATAATGAGATTGGTTCCAAGTCTACATTAATAAAACATCTAAGGACAGTTTTGTATATAATTAAAATCAAAGCATATTTTTTACTGAGAAAACAGGTATTTCTATTTCAATCCCCAGGTACAAAATTAAGACTATAACAAAAGAAATCAAGTCAGAGAAAATAATTATGACCTAGGCAATTCCTATTTTTAATGACCTGTGAAGAATATAATGCTATATCCACAAAAGCTATTCCGGGAAGTTTTACATACAGCAAATTTGAGTCCTTCTTTTAAAATTACCTCACATACCCATTCTGTTTCAAATAAAATAAAAAATAAAACTGCCAAAAACAGAGTAAAGACTTCTATTTAAAAGAACCCCTTAATGAATTTTCTTCCAACTGAAATCATTAATTTAAATATTCTAAAAGCATGGAAGAGAAACTTTCTAAATTAGTTGCAATAACTATCATATCTATAAACACATGCAGAAACTCTTATTTGGCTTATTTCAAGATATCACCACCAATGCTGATAATCTATTACAAGAATCAAACCAGCCCTAAACAGTGGTTCAGTAGACAGAGTCAGCCCAAGGACTGAAGGGTCCTGGGTTCTATTCCAGTCAAGGGCATGTACCCCGGTTTCAAGCTCGATCCCTAGCACTGGTCAGGGATCCCTAGTACTGCTTAGGGCTCCTATGGGAGGCAATCAATTGACATGTCTCTCTCACATGTTGTTTCTCCATGTCTCTCCTCCTCTCTTCCACTCTCTAAAAATCAATAGAAAAATATCCTTGAGTGAGGATTAACAAAAAGAAATAAACCAAACATTACCTTGATTTTTATTCAGATGAGCACCTGGTATACCTTGGTGTTAACAATAAATGGGAAAACTACTCAGTTGCTCACATTAATAATGATAATTAAGGTAAGCAAAACAGAGCCCCCTTGTTTCTGAACATGAAATGGAAAAGAGGATCTGGAATGTTTTCAACTGATCCATGGAATGGAAGGCAGGAGACAGGCAAAGGTAGTACAATCTCAAACTTCTTTAAAATTCAAACATTGTTCCCACTTTCTTTTATGTGGCATTAATTTCTATTTAATTTTTTAAATACAGTAATTATCTTGAGGTCTTAAGCTCCTCTGGGGTGTCTCAAAACCAGAAGGCAGGCACTAAACTGTGTTTAGTTTGAGTGCCTATGTATAGCACTCAAAGCTGCTATTCCATTTTACTTGAAATAAAAACAAGACACTTGTTATCACTGAAAAGAGGCCCCAGTTCCAAAGTCCTTGGAGCTCAGATAAAGTGACGCTCCTTTGCCTGCAGACGCTGTTCTGGAGGCCTTCATGCCTAATACTTCCCTGCCCTCTATTTTCTGCACGTGAAACAGATGCCAGTCATGCCTTTACCCACTAACATTCTTTCCCTGTTCTTGAAGTCCTACTCATGGGCCATCTCCGTAATGCCTCTTCTGACTGTTTTGCTTATCCTAAATAATACCTGAACTGGAATTACATGGTACTGAGATTCCATTTTTTAATATAGGGGCATGCCTAATGTATGAAGTTCGTTTTTCATATCACTTGGAAATAAGAATATAATGAAACCTGATATCTGGAATTTTTTCTTATTTTATTCTATTCTATTTTATCCCGAAATCACTAAGCAAAGCTTGGGTGGTAGGGAGATTTTTAAAAGTAGAAAACTTTAGTGCTTACATGGGTAAGGCTCCAAGACCTCAAGCAATTGATAACTGATACCCATTTTGCAAAATATTTCCCTAGACAACTATGCATTTGCCAGTGAAAATAAGACTACATGAACTTATGAAACTTTTGCAGGGCCTTTGGAACTCATACTTGATTATACACAGAATGACTTGTTAAGATAAGGTCAAGGTCTTTCCTAGCTTTAAGAGCCTAAATTGAAAAGGCAGTGGAGGAAATTAAAAAACAAAAAAACCAACAAAAAAACCAAGCAGTATCTTGATTACCATTCAGCTTTCTTAAAAAGGATTGCCCAATTGGAAGGTCAGGACCACCTGAAGTCATTGCAGTTTACCCGTGTAGTGCTCAAGGAAAGCATACACAAGAAGAATTCCAAATGGCCTCAGAGGACTTAAAAAAGGCCTCAGAGACAGTAAAGCAACAAGCAGACTGTCAAATTACAGCGGGGAGGGGAGGGAGATTTGGGGGAGATAATAGATCAACCGAAGGACTTGTATACATGCATATAAGTACAACCAATGGACACAAAACTCTGGGGAGGGAGGGTATGTACGAGAGAGAGGGGGGGGGGCAAAAAAATCAATAAAATATATTAAAAAATTATTAAGCATTAAAATAAATTAATTAATTTAAAAAAAAAAAAAAAGGCCTCAGAGAGAGAAGAGAGACACAGACTGGTTGCCTCCCGCACAAAGCCTCAATCAGGGATCAAACCTGCAACCTGGGTATGTGCTCTGACCGGGAATTGAACCCGCCACTTTGGGTGTACTGCAGGATGCTCCATCTACATCAGCCAGGGCAAGACCATTTTTAACTAGCTTTCATTGTTGTCTAATTTAAATTCAGCTGTGCTCCTTGCTTCATTTTTAATAAGTACATGTACATTATCAGAGGCAATAAATGCCTCCCCTGAGGGCAGAATTAGCCAAGGCGCTCTTCCCTATCCAACAATCTTCAGCACAGACTAGAAGCGCGCCATTACCTGACAAAGAACATTGCATCAAAGACAACTTATTGTATGGGAGTGTGTGTATGTGTGTGTGTGTGGGGGGATTGGTAAGGTAGTACACATATAATATCTTAATAAAAAAAAAAGAAAAAAGAAAAAAAAAAAGACAAGTTATTGTAGCGAATCCTCACTTGAGGATTTTTTCTATAGATTTTCAGAGTGTGGAAGGGAGGGGGGAGGGGGCGAGAAAGAGAGCTATCTATTGGTTACCTCCTGCATGGGGCCCAGGGACCCTGGATCCCAGGTGTGTGTGCCTTGAGACCCGCCACACTTTGATTTGCGTGCCAGCACTTGTTGGCCAGGCTCAAAGACAAATTAAAGGGT